AAGCTTGCTGGTGTACTGGAGTTAGCGCAAGTCCAGTGCTGCCAGCCGAGTGAGCAAGGACAAAAGTACAGAACCTGGTTGGGAGCTTCCAGGAGCCAGACTGCAGAGGTCTTCTTGGTGAGAAGAACCTTGGAACCTTCAAGGTTCCAAGAACCTTGGAACAATGTGTTAGACAGGAAGCCATTGGACAGTTCTGGGCACAAGAGTGGCCAAAAAAAAAAAAAAGTAACTCTAACAAAACAAAGAAAAGAGGACAAAGTACTATAGAATGATGAGGATAAAGAGAAAAGTCATCTCCCCAAGGACATCAGACAAAGTTTTGGAGACATTAATCTCGACTGCAAATGATTTCATCTTCTTGGTCCAAATGCTAAAAGGATTTGGTACAAAGAAGACACACCCTACCCAGAGGTAGAAGGGCCCTCAGTCTACATTACGAAGAAAGGCAAAAGGAGACCAGAGGAAAGTAGCACAGCCTAAAACAGAAACAAAGGAATGGTTAATTGTGCTTAAGAGAGAAGATCCCTATTAGAACCAGTTATGCCCATTTTATTTGACTAGTTACCTACTGAACAATTTAGTGAGAATAACTTTATTTCACTGGTGGTATATTTGCAATTGTGATATTGATATTTATAATAAGAAATATATCCCCATCCTGGTATAGAACTCCTAAAATCCTTTAATTTCCTGTGATGAGAGTAATAAGTGTCTTTTGTTATGTTAATGAGATGATGACTTTTGGAAAGCTCCTAAGGATGAGGACTGGTTGCCTGTGGAGCCAACCCTGTAATTACAGGGCTGGAACCTTAAGACCCACCCCTAGACCTCCAAGGAGGGAAGAGGAACTGGAAACTGGGTTCAACCTCCAGTGGACAATGATTTAATCGAGCACACCTATGTAATAAACACTCCGTAAGAACCCAAAAGGCCAGGGTTTGGAGAGCTACCAGGTTAGTGAATCAGAAGATACACATGTGCCACCATGCTGGGTCCCAAACTTCATGAAGACAGAACCTCCTTTGTTCAGGACCTCACCCTATGCATCTCTTCATAACTGGTTTCCTGAGTTCTGTGAGCTGCTGAAGCAAATTAACTGAACCCAAAGAGGGAGTCATGGAAACCTATGATTTATAGTCAGTTTTTCACAAGCAAAGGTAACAACTTGGACTTTTGTTTGACGTCTGAAGTAGGGAGTCTTGTGGGACTGAGTGCTTTACCTATGGAATGTGATGCTATCTTCAAGGAGACAGTGTCAGAATGGAGCTGAGTTGTAGGACATTCAGGTGGTGTCAGGGAATTGCTTGGTGTAAGGAAAAGATCCACACGTTAGAACTGGGTATGGAACTGCCAAGACATACAGACTTTTTAAAAAAGAACAGCATAGTTCTTTAGTTCTTAGTTTAACAGGGCTTATAGGAACTGATTATCCTAAGCCTAAATCAATAATTCTAAATGTTTTCACCTGTCCTGTTACTCCATATTCGCTCAGAGATCAGCAACCCTTTTATGGATAGTGCAGTTATAACAAGTACCTATGCAAAAGCCTTACTGCTTGTGTGAGTTTTAGGAAATAAAGTCAACTCCCAATTTTCTGGACCAATGATGAGAAATGGTGACGTGGGAAGCCAATGTTCCTGTGCTCTTCTCCCCAGCCCTACTATTTACTGAAGGGCCACTGTGCCTCAGATAACCAAAATCAGATGTTAAGGTATTTAATATCACAAGCTTGCAAGTCCCAGAGGTAAAGTAATGCCCAAATACTTTGGGTAAGTATGCCCAAAGGCACAGAGTCAGAGCAGAACAGAAATTTTAATCCAAGTTTTTCTAACTCCAAAGTTGATCATATTCTCAAACCTGGTTAATTTCCAGAGCAAGAGATATTGGACATCTTACTTCCCCATGGAGTAGTTAATACATGAGTGGATAATTAACAATAAAAGAAAAAATGAGCTCCATTTAAAGAAATTTAACATCAAATGTGACTGGGATTATAGTTTCCAAATGATGTGATTGAAAAGATTGCTGAGAGGGAATCGAGTAGATGACCATGGCAGGCATGGTTTCTTTGGTTCTGATTTTTTATATATTTTTAAGGACACCCATGGAATACAAAGCATGAGAGAAAGATCTTGACAACTTAATAATGCTACATCTTAAGTTTTAATTTTGATTCTAACTGTAGAAAAAGTCCACTGTGAAGTACTATACATTAAAAAAAACAGACAAACTGTGCCCTCATGGCATGAGAAAAGGAGTTTCATCTGGCTGTGGGATACAGGGCAACCTGCAGGTGAGCACCTGTGGCTGGGAATGGCCACTACAAGGAATCTGTCATCACCCAGCAATCCAAACTGGTGCTCCACCCAGGTGAATGGGAGCATTCAAGTTCTCATGCTCCAGAGGCCTTGGCAATCACCAGTTAGGGTTTCAAGAACTTCTATATCAAGCCTTAGTGAATGGATATTGTAAATTATTGAATATTATGATTATGGGGAAAATGAGGTAAGATTTGTGTTTCACAGAAACTACTATAAGGAAGAAATGATAAAATGAGTCATGAGTGAATCTGTTACAACAGTTAGCTCTAGACTTTCAAACTTTATTCCATTGCAGTACCTAGACCAACTCTTTGTTTCTACTTTCCAGTGGGAAAAAATTCAGTGACAAATAAATGAATTTTGGAGCAGAATGGTGTGTGTATGTGCATGTGATTTTGCATTAAGCAATATGGGCATGAATGATATATATTGAACCATAACATAACCATAAGCATGTCTTAAAGTCTAGGTATTTAAACAGATGAATAATTATAAATCATAGGGTTAATTGAGCAATCTATAATAAACCATATTAATATGATTAATTCAAACAAATTTATAACAAGAACAAGCACAGCAGTAACCGAATATCATAACCAACTGAAGACAGCCAATTACAAGTAATCTTCCCCCCAAATCACAGGGATTCCAATCACCTGAGTGTGAGTACACCAAGCAGGAATCTTGTAATACTGCCAACACATGGAAGTCAAACTTCAGAAAAAAAACTGAATATTTTGAAAACTCAGATTTAAATTCTAGCACAATTTCAAATTTTGGAATCCTTAATAATTTACACAGTTCTACATAAAATGAAAATCTATAGAATGTTATGCAATTTCCTGATGGCAACTAACATTAATTAAGCACATACTATTGGTCAGGTAGATTTTGAAGTGTTATACATACATTTACTCCATTTCATTATTATAAATATAGAAGCTATACATACTAATATTACCTCCTTTAAATAGATGAGGAAACAGACACAGCTCAGCAAGCAGAAAAAACTAACCTTAAAAAATCTAAGCATTCTGACTCCACATTTTACATTTTTAACAATTAGGCTACATGCCTCTTAGAACTTGAAATTTTAGGTCCATTCCAGGCTCTTTGGGGAAAATCTGTGTAACTCATCTGTACAATCATTTCTAAATATGATGAGAGTGCAAATAGTGCAATGGTGTTGGGAGGAGCAGAGGTCAAAGACAGATTCTGGAGAAACTGAGAAAGAGAATCAGCAGACATGATTGTATGTATGGGGTGAGGGAGGGGTAAGGAGGGGTAAGGAGGGGGCAGAGTCCAGAATAACTCTGAATAAGAAGTAGGAGTTTTGAAAGCAAGTAGAAACAAAAACAGAAAAGCAAGTTTTTGGCTTGGGATGATGTTCAGATTTGGGATAAGCATCCCATAGGCTTCAGGGTGCTAATGATATATTCTGGTCAAGAAGTCAGTTAAGCAGCTTGACACAGGAGCAGGTAATGGGTGAGGTGGAGTGAATAGAACTGTCGCTATGCCTGAAATGATCCATCCTTATCTCTGTTTAAATCATTGCTACTTGAGAAAGTTACTGGGATGAGAGACTGAGGCATGCATGGGGGCGCTGGGGGTGGTTAACATAAAGAAAGAACCATTTCCCTGGCATGCTGGGGTGTGAAATCTGGGAGAGTAAAAAGTAGGATCAAAGGAACCACAAAGCACAAATGCTTACACTTTTCTCCCAACATGTACAGAGCATGGTGCTCCCTGTGTTACTCTATGTACTGATCCTATGCTTATGATGCACTGAAGGCTACATAAGGACCTGCACCTTATTGACTTTGTGGTTTTTAAAGAACCTAGGAAAATGTAAAAATGCTTGTCATTTTTTTAGGGATCCTTCTAATTTATACAAGAAGTTAAGAAATTCTTTCAAAGATGCCCTTTTAGATTTAAGGTTCAAGCATCATTGGGGCTGGCTCAATGTAAGATATCTTCATTAACAGAGTAACTCACTAGTTTCATTCTGAGAGGCCATAGGGAGGGAAACAGAAGCAGTGAAGGAACAAAACAAACAAGAATGGGAAGTACCTGCATGTGTGTCTAAAACTAGTTATTAGTCATGAGCCTTTCTGATCAGAAGAATCCTTCAGATAAATTAATAACATATTTTGGTATGAGGTCCATTAGAACTCACAGTGATTAATTTTCTTCTTACCTTTCAGGAGCTTGAAAGACAGAAATAATAGATATACCAATATAATACAGGGCTTTATAAAATTTTTGCAACTATTAATTGCTGAAATTTAAAATATTTTTAAAAAACATTTTGAAATCTATTGTATCAAAAATTAAAATGGAATGTTCAAAAACTAAAACATACTTCAGCTAAAAGCAATGGCCAAATTAGATGGATTTAGCCTGGCTTTGTTTTCCAAACTAAAATGTATAAAATGAAGATTCTTTAACACAATACTATCAAAATAATTTCTTAATGACTATAACTTTTCATTTATATGAAACATGCCCTTTGAGGCTTAATTGAGAGTAATAGGTTTTCAGTGTAGCTAGAGTGATGATTAATCAATTCATCTATCTGACATTTAGCTTTCAGATACTCATAATGACATGAAGAAATAGCACTAAGGTAAGAATTCAGGCTAAGTACTTGAAAAGCAACAGCACAGACAAAATACTCACGATATGGCGCTTCCAGAGGATGCCCTGTCACATCACACCATCCAATCGGGTGAATGTCAGGGCTGTCTGCATCCGTCCAATAGTCATATTTGTGGTCCCAGCCATCAAAATGAACCTGTTGAATAATTAGTATTTAATGATTAACTTCACTATTCCTGTATCAAAGTATTGGAAAACAACTCTCCAAAACTTTGAATGAAATTTTATTAATCACACATTGTAGCCGAAACAATATTTAAAAAGTGCTATCCTTCTACTGTACTGAGAAAAGTCTATTGCACCATTTTTTTCTAAGAATTTAAGGAAATTGGTACACAAACAAAATTGTTCAGGACTGATTAGAATTTGAAGAAATAAGACCAATCAATTTCCCCAACTAAGAAATGCTGTAAGGATATTCCCTGTCTCAGCAGCCACTGCAAGAACCATGTCAGCATCAGCAATAAAAGTCACTATTTGACATTAGCACAAGCCTTATTGTAACAGATAGGGGATGAATAAGTTAGAGTAAAAGGAAGCAATACATTTCAAAATCTTAAAAAATAAGGGGAGAGAGGGTCACTGGAACAACAGAGGCAAAGAGAGCAGACAAAATGTGCTACTGAGTTAGACAAACTAACAGTTATCTTAATAGCTACTAAGTACAAGCTTGGGGAAAATCTGAGAAAGAGGTATGGCCCAGGTCCAGCAATCCTACTGGTCATCACTGTTTTGCCTCTTACCTACAAAATACATGCACGACACCCATGCATACCCATGCACACACATGACACACACACCATGCACACACATGACACACATGATACACAAACAGGTCTGAGAATAACTAAATTGAAATAAAGTTCAATTTCTAAAATAAAAATGAAATACTTAGTTTTGGAACTTATTAAATTCCATGTTTGAGAAGATTTATACCGAATAAAAATATTTATTTATGCAGACAAAAAATAAAATTATCATATTTCATTATTTCATAACAATTTATTATCATATATTCTGTTTCTATCGATTAAATGGAGAACAAATCCTGTCCAATGCAAGAAACTCAAAACTCTTAGAAAATCATATTTTGAATAAAAATATAAAGATGCCTAGCATTATAATAAACCAACTAAAATATAAATTTTTCAGGGCACAAGACCAGGAAAATAAAAAGAAAGAAAAATTGTGTGTATTAAGTCCCACATGAGTCTCAATATTTTTCTTAAGATCCCTCTTTCTATGCAAGTTGTTCTCAGTGTGGTTCCCAGACCAGCAGCAGCAGCATCACCTGGGCATGTGTTAGAAAGGCAGATTGTTGGGTGCCACAACTCATTCCTACTGAACCAGAAATTCTAAAGGGCGGGGCCTAACCATCTCTGTGTTAACAAGTCCTCCAGGTGAATATGATGTATGCTAAAGTCTGAGAACCAATGATCTTAGAAATAACTTTCAAAAAAATATTTCTACCAGATTAGGCTTCTAGACATGACAGAGTGCCCTTTCACAGTCATAACTATAAAACTGGACAAAATATACGAAGTAACTGTTTTTAGACTTTGTACAATAGGCAGCACAGAAATGTCATCACTAAGTACACTCAGCTGAATCCAGGACATCAGCGTGGAGACAATTTCCTGATGACAGCACAGGGAGGAAAAACATAAACAAAGCAGTTACGTCATGCTGAGGAAACAGAGATTACTATCCATAGCTAATAAAGCAGCTGGAAATTGGAGGAGAAAGTTATAGAGACGACAGAGCTACTATCTAGGAGTTAGCACATAAGACGTAGGTCTAAGGCTGGACTACACATGTGCAAGGTAGGACTTGGTGAAGCCAAGCAGAGAGCAGTCGGTACAAGCTGCGAGTAAAAAAAGATAATACAGCTCACACTTTACTGGGAGAATAGAGAGACCAGAGTGTAAAGATCTCAATAATTCCTTGAAAACTCAACTGAGGAACCAAAAAGGTTGTACTTTGGGAGTAAGAGCCATGCCACTGTAGAAGCTACTATAGACCAGTCCTAAAAAAGGCTAAAATCAAGCTTCAACAAGATTAAGAATCCCCAATAACTAACTCTGATAAAACAAACTCTCTCCTTCTTGATGGAAAAAAAATACTCCCAACTGTGTATACTATGTCATTCATAATGTCCAATACAGAATAATAATTTATTAGACATGCAAGTAAGCAGGTGAATGTGAGCCACAGTTAATTTTTAAAACTGCAGTTAAACCCGTCAACTGTTGGACAGCTAGTAGCAGTTCAGCATGTGAACTTCACAAGCAGAACTTCCATTACCCATGTGTAAAAGTACTAATTCCATCACTTTTAGATGGACCCTTGAGATACAACTTGAAATGACAAAGGGTAGTATCCTCGTGCAGCATCTAATTCATTGGCTCTTCCCAGCCTTTGAGGAGGGCAACATTAAGAGATATGTATATGAAAACACAGAGACATGTGCCAGTTGAATTGTATGCTGAGAGGCATCAATTGTCAAAAGTGTGATGTATATTTATAATTTTATAGCTTTTAAGTTTTTAAAATAAAATTTTAATTACACAAAATAAAACTTTAAAAGATTTTATATTACAAATACCATTCTTTATCTTATATTATGATATATCTATTCAATGAAAGGTTTTTTTAGCCATGAAAATCATAAATCCTTATGAAGAACATATAAGGAGAAGGGTCAGCAACTCAACACCATTTTATCCAGTGGAAAAGCTTAAAAAGGATATTAGATTCTGGCTTATCATGTTAATATAATTACAAAAGAATTTAAATGCAGTCAATAGAAAGAGACCCTGAGATGACCCAGATGTTGTAACCAGCAGACAATGATTTTAAAGTAGCTATTAAAATATGTTCAAGGACTTAAAAGGAAAAATGGTCTTAATGAGTGAACACATAGTGAATCTCAGCAGGAATACAGAAGCTATAAAAGACTAACAAATTAAGTTCTACGACTTAAAAGTAAAATGTTTGAAATAAAAAAAAATTCTGGATGGGCTCAACAAAAGATTGAAGACGGCAGAGAAAAGAGTGAGTGAACTTAAAAACACTCACAGAAATTATTAAGTGAAAGTACACGCAATAAAAAATTTTTTAAATAAGTGCAACCTCAGGAAGTTGCAAGCTAATGTCAACAGGCCTAATATACATGTATTTGGGTCCAGAGGGAGGAGAGAAAGAAACAATGGGACAGGAATCGTGGTTAAACAACTTCAATTTTTGTCATAATCTAACACTTGTATTCTTTAAATGATCATTAATTAAAAAGGAAAAGCAAGCTATGGACATTTGTAATGCATTTATCTGACAAAAACTTGACAAAAAACTCAATAAATAATGGGCAAAAGATTGATAGATTCTTTGAAAACAGAAGACTCATGAATGGTCAATAAACAAACTAAAAAACTGTCAGCATCACTATTCATCAGAGGAACCAAAATTAGACACTACTGTACAGCCATTCGAATGACTTAAATTAAATGACTGACAATATCAATTATTGGTGAGGCTGTGGAGCTCCCAGAACATTCATACAATGTTGGGGAGTAGGGCTGTACAATTTATCCAGTCATTTTAGAAAATGTTTTGCTACTTCATTATAAATGTAAATATGTACCAACTCTATAACCCCTAGCATTCCAACCAAAGGAGATGAAAATACGAACCTATGTAAGTAAGTGTTCCTTGCCATTTCATTCCTAATAGCCTAAACCCCCAAACAACCAAATGCCCAACAACAGGTGACTATCCATTCACTAAAAGTATAGTATATACATAAAGTGAATGCTAGTCACCAATGAAAAAAACAGTTATAGTATATATATATATATATATATATATATATATATAAAGTGAATGTTAGTCACTGACTAAAAAAATACCCACATATGTATGCATCGAACAGACCATGTGAGAAGAGGACAGACACAAAACAATGAATATTCTATGACTCCATTTATACAAAATTTAACAACAAGCACAGACATTAAACCCACGGTTATCTGGGAGGGGTGGGCAATGGAACTGAATACAAAGGAGCACAAAGGAACCTTTCGTAGTGTGAAAATATTCCAAATCTTGACTGTCATGGTGGTTCTATAAGGTGCTCATCTTTCAAAATTTATCAAAATGAACACATAAAATCGGTACATTTTACTATTTGTAAGTGATATTTCATAAAGTTAACTCATTTAAAACATTTCTACATTCAGCTGTTGTCATATGGGGCTTTTCTGATCTTATACCGTATTTTCTTCATTATAATGTCTCAGCACTCCAGACACAGCCAAATTGCATCATATGTCAGTACCAGGTAACTAAGGGTTCCAGGTGTGAAAGGCAAAAGTGACAGTCCTTTCTAGAATGATGTTAGTTTCTTTGAATTTACCAGTAGAAAGAAGTTTATGTAAGTGTGTATAATGAATGAGGTAAAGAAAAAATTTAAAGAAATACTTTTCTCAAGTTTTACTATTTCAACCTATCTAATTTCAATATCCTTCTGTGTTTTCAGTTCCATTATTTATATTTCAAAAGCAAGCCGGCACCCTCTAAGAGCAAACAAGACAGGTCGCATGCTCCAGCAGGATGATATGTCACGGAGGAAGGTCTTTCTATTTCAGGTACTGAGCCTGTACCTGGGAATCCTACTGTAGAACCGAGTCTGAAACTAAAAGGTAAAATAATAACATCTTAAAAAAAATTTTGAAAGCTGGTACAATGTTATTATACACTCTATACAACATTCTACCTTATGTTCATTAAGAAATGTTAAATTATCCTTTCCAGGTCTGTATATAATTACTTACAATGAAAACCTGGGAATTAAAAATACTCCCTGTTAACCCAACAGTGAGATGCTCCCCTCCCCCACAAAGGCAGTCTACACTTGGTATATATATAATGAAAATCTGTATCCAGATAATCTTTATGAAGGATATTTTCCTACCTTTGAATTTTCATATCTCTGGAGTAAAAATCTAATTTTGAGAATTCTAACCACCTGGCTGGCATAGCTCAGTGGATTGAGCGTGGGCTGGGAACCAAAGTGTCCCAGGTTCAATTCCCAGCCAGGGTACATACCTGGGTTGCAGGCCATAACCCCCAGCAACCACA